TGACCTTTCCAGCACTCTGCAGCAGAGATCCCAGAATTTCATGTTGTGTTTTTCTGCATTCTGCATTTAGAAGTTACATGAGACAAAATCCAATGCACGTAGGAATAGAGAAAAGGAATTTGGGGTCTGTGGGATCTCCCTGTCCTGGACTCCTTGAATGCTCCTGACACAGCCCATGGCCCTGCAGAGGGCAGGGACAGCGCTGGGTACTGGGGCACCACAAGGGACGGGGCCCTGTGAGTGCTGCTCTTGGGCTTGGGCACCAGGCAGCAGACCACGCAAGCCCAGGGTGCTGGAGGAAAGCTGAGGGGACAAGCAGCTGTGTAGCCAAAACAGGCCTCCCCAAGGGGAAAGGTGGGGCAGGAGAACATATTTTCTGTTACTTATCTCAGTAAACAGAAAATGGGAAAATTTAAGGCAAAAATACTGTCAGCAGCGAGTCTCTGCTTCATGAGGCCCCAGCTTTCCCAAGAAGTCAAAATTAAACCAAATTCTACAGAACAGAGGAGAACAGAAACCCTCAACACTGGGAGCAGACAATGCAGCACTAGGATCAGAAGACTGAAAGAGGAGGATAACAGAAGGAACAGCCAGGAGGGAACAGGCAACATGAGCCCCTAGCAGCAGAGACAGCATTAAAAACACCCCAGCATGGGGTCTGGTAGCCCTGCAGAAAAAATAAGTCTCCAAATTGTGTCAAGATGTTGCTCCTCTAGAGATACCAAGTGAAACTTTTGATTTACATAGCTGGGAGATGCCATGCAAAGAATAAGAGAGAGGAAAAGGAGTGACCACAGGGTGGTTTTCCTTTATTTTGTGGTTCACTTCTGAAAAGCTGCTGCTTCTTCTTTTCTTTCCCCTGAAAGGAGGCAAACTTTAAAAAAAATTGCAGAAGGCAATTAAAAATCTAAAGTAGTGTACTGCATGAAAAAAGCACGGGGGGGGAAATCTTAACAGAAAAACATCAAATACCTGTGTCCCAAATTGTTGCATTTTGTTTTTTTCCCCATGCTGTGCTGTGTTAACATGTCCCTCACACGTGTGCCCAGCTGCTGCTGTGAGCTCGGTGGCAGGGACAGGAAATTTGGAGCTAATGGGGAAAGCAGGGAATACCAACCTGTAATTTATTTTTATGATTTCTGGAATGTTATAATTGAATTACGCTAATGCTATGTGCTAATGGATGGTTGGGCACTGAGAGGCCTTTCCTGTTGCAAACACTGCAAAGAACCCCCACACTCTGCAAATACTTGTGCACAGAGACGTACCCAGTGCCATTTGTCCCCAGCACTCAGGACATGGCCCACAGTTCCCTATTTCCAAAACTCTTTCTTGATCAGTACTGTAACATAACTGCAGAGAAAAACAAGATACCTTCAGCTACCTCAAAAGCAGACACAAAAAAATTAGGCTTTTAGGTCTGCAGGCTCCTGAGGAGAAGACAGAATCTGCTCTGTTTGCCCCAGACAATTCAGCCAAGATTCCCTGGGGCCTCACAGTCAGGCTAATGAGAAACTCCCCAGCAACTTCCATATAAAATGCTTTCATAGGTCTTTAAAATGCCTTAAATTCTCTATATATTTAGTAAGACTTTTTACTTCTTTAAAATGTCCCTTGTTGCTCCTCAAGATAATACCCTCGTGATGTATTGCAACAGAAATGCAGCATTGTCTGACCGGACCTTTGTTTTGTGAGTACCGAACCTTATTTTCGTCTTTGCTCAAAGAAGCCAGAACCCCTTTTGCAGAGCAGAGGTGGGCACTTGCCTGGCCTACAGCAGCCCTGCCCAGTCCAGCCCCAGTGACACTTTTGGAGTAGGACAGACAGGCTGCAAGGGCTGTACGTGCTGTTAAGGGATGGGAAAGCAGGGGCACTGTTCCTCTGGAACACAAAACATCTCTGCCTCTTAGGCAGCAAAACATGCCTGACCAGCTATTTACAACAAACTAAGTCCTTGGATTACGAGAGGAAAGGAAAAGCTTTTTTTCTTCCTTTTGCATTAAGGAAAAGATGTTTACAAAACCTGAAGAGGAAGGAAATTTACTATATACCCATTGTTAAACAGTACTGGTGGACATTCAGATTATTCACCCTGGTGCAAGGGCAGCCTCTGCCTCTTATATGTTTTTTTGCTTCTCTAAGTTATTATGTACAGCCTTTAAGTTGTTGTTATTAAAAAAAATATATATAAATTAAACTATTTCTAGCTGTATTTGAAGTATTGGAACAAATTCCTCTGTGCAACTACACCATGGGTTGGATTCTTGCCTTGGTAGATTTCACCAGGAAGGAGCAGTTATGCCAGAGCAGACAGCAACTTGTGCACACACTCTGCCAGAGGAAAAAGGATGGTCCTGTACCATGCCATCACCAATCAGACCCATCTGAGCACAGGGTTTCTGTTGCCATGGTGTTCACGGCCAAATTTCCATGGGCTGCACTAAGCAGCTCCCATGAGCTTGCCCAGTGCCATGCTCTGGGCAGGGATGCACAGGCTGTGCACCCTCAGTACGTGTCAGCAGCAGAGAAGCTCCCCCAGGAGACACCGAGCTTGGAGCCTCGTGCTTGGCACACCAAGGACAGATGGTCATCAGAGACAAGACCCATGCCTGCAGACTCAACTCATGCTCACAAGCAAAATTTCCAGAATAACTTCTACTGGTTAAATGAACAAAATAAAACATAGCAGCAAAAGCTCCTTTTTTCCCCATGGATACATCTATATAATTATTTCACTTGTAGAAAAAGATACTTATATATTTTTTAAAAGTTTAAAGTTTACATTCTACCTGTAACAGCTCTTGCTGCCCCTACATACCACCCAACCCTGGGAGCATGACTCCCCCAGCCCACAGCAGCTGTGCAGACTGCCAACAGAATTTTTCAGAAGTCATTTTGTATGTGTTTGCACACACACAGAGATGTACAAACACATACAGGAGAAAGAGGGAGAGAAATATGTTAATTTGAAACATCTGGAAAATGTTTCAGAGTTAACAAGTCCCAGGTTTGGCCTTTGGGGTTTTTTTTCTTTTGGGGGGAGTCAAGGAAGGGGAGGCAATTTTGTCATTTTGGGCCAGGGAAGGAAGGGGCATGAAACAAGAAATTGAAGCGTGTTTTTTCACCCTTTATTGAACTTCAACATCACACTACTGGAGCTAATGCAAACAGGAAGATCATAAAAGAACATAATGAAAGTCTCGCACACTGGGACTGAGAGACTGGTTTCAGTTACTGAATATAGCTGAGGAGCCACACCACACAAGAGCCAGTGACTCCACGCAGCCACACCACCACAAACTTGGGCTTTTAAAGCTTTTTCTGTGTAGTTCCTCAATCATATTCCAACCTGCAACTTGTGTCCCATGTACTGCATCCCAACTTGACAAAATACAGCATTACATTGTTATACATGTACAAGATAGACATCTGTAGCTACTAAATGTATTAAGAAGAAAATCCCCCAATTAACACACATTTTCCTAAAGCTGCCATAAATCATGCATACAATACATTTTCTCTCACATCCGACCTCTTGAATGAGAGCTGTAATTGTGGGAGTAAACGAAGAAAAATGGAGACTCAACTAATTTGGTAAAAGCCTTTCACAGTCTGTCTTTTACTTAAGGCATAGTCACCAACACCAACCCCAAATTAACTCTGCTGTGCACAGAATTTTATTTTTTTTTGTCATTGTTTTGAACCATAGCCTATTTTGAATTTAATACACTTCCAGACTTGTGATAGATAACACCGGTAACTCCACTCCAGTGCTGTTTGAGATGAAGGTCAAGCAAGAGAGCTGGCGAGCGCTCTTTTCATGCACCGTTAGCTCCAGGCACAAAGGGGCCTTCGACATCACAGCTGGGGGTTTGCAGCAGCAGCAGCAGCAGCAGCAGCAGCAGCAGCAATATTTGCTATCAAAGACTAGTGAAAACACAAACCCCTCCAAACAGCCAGAGTGGCCAGAGAAGATGCACCCACTGCCCCAGAAGATGCATCTGAGAGCACAGTGGGTAAGAAGCAAAAGGCCACAAAGTGCCACACAAAGGCACTTTGTGCCTCCGAGACCAGACAGATGCTCACTTCCGTAAGAAAGTGTCTCCTGGGAGCCAGGCTCCCCGTGACTCTTACAAAATCCATCTAACCAGGAATGAAACATTGTTGGTTTTCATATTACTGCTCAGTTTCTTGGCTGTTTTCATATCATTGCTGAGCTTTTAAGAGAATACCATTGCACAGTCCAATGTGGAGAGAGCACAGAAATAGACTTACTGGCCTCAAAATAAAAAATATTCTGAGCATCTCATAAACGTTAAAAACAGACAAAATATCTTTACATGGGGCACAGTGATTGAGATGTGACTAGTTACTTTAAACACAAACTAATCTGACATTTACCCTCATGCTTCTGTTATCAATACATATTACACAGACAAACTTAATTATCCTGTTCAGTTTCTTGAGCCTCTTTTTATTCAAATTATTGACCTAACACGGATGAACAAGCCTCAGACACATGTTATTACTGTCAAGCAGACCAAAAGCTTGTTCAAATTTTAAACCTTTCTGTCATGGCGATGTACCACTTTTATTCTCCAGTCCTGACAGTACTTTCCAGTTTCCTCAGAGAGGAGAAATACACACATTCCAGTTGAGACTGAGGCTTAAAATTCCTATTAAAGCAGCTTTTATGTAATTAGATTGGAATGAATGTGTAACAGTGCCCATTGCAGAAAACTTCAAAGTGGTTATACTGGAGAAATCACAACCCGTTTCAGTGTGCCCACAAGAAGAAAGAATGGCTCTCTGGAGGATAAGAGTATATTAGTCTCTGTGTGTAATAGATTTTATTGACCATATGGAACTGATATAAAAATTGTGTTGCAGTGGGTAGTCTTGGATTTGAGACAGGAATGTGACATACAAAATACAGTTCCTGTAAAAAGCCTGGCAGCTTTCTGGCAGTTTTTGCAATCAGAAGAACCTAAAATATTTACCTGATTGAGTCACTGACGAGTCCCAGGTCAAAGCAAAATCTGAAGATTCACCCTCTTCAACTGAAAAAGAACAAAAATAAGTTGTGATTGCTAAAGCAAACCAACTGGAAAGCAAAGTCATCAGAAAACTAGGTCCACTATGACATTAAGTATTAAAACAGACTTATCCACTGCTGAAAAAGAACTTACTGCTTTCTATAAAATAATTCATAAGCTGGAAATTTAGTAAACAGATCTTTCCTACTTTTTAACCTAAATATGGGATTTGTGTTTACAGTTTCTTCCTGAATGGGTGGCAGTAAGTTCATTTGAAATTTTAATAGATGCTTAAACACTACTGCCTGGTAATTCATATTTGAAATGTTGTACATTCACAACTTGCACATGCAAAATTGCCATTGTAAACACAGAGTTTTTTTTTTAAATGGATATTTCAACAGATCATAGTAAAGAACTGTCCTATGAAGGAAAAATTGCCTGACTTATGTCATCCCAACATACTAACATACCCGCCATATTCAAAACCCAGCAATATCTTCAGGAATTTCTCAGAATCAAAAAATGCTATTTTGATGTATAACCATGCTCTGTGATATGGCAGTCACAAATAACTGCTTTTAAGGCTTGCTGTTGCTGTGAAGGTTGTCAGGTTGCTCAGCACTTGCAAGTGACATAGCTAAAACCTTCTGCCTGTTAAGAATTACAAAAATGCCACTTGATTCTTACATTCTTAAAAATAACTAAGGGAACAACATGCGAGGCAAAAAGGTGCCTGATCCTGCTGATTTTGAAATTAGTGCTGGTTATACTAATGTCAGACTGGGCATTTGAAAGCAGTAACTGCAGAAGTTCTTCTTTAGAATTGCAAAAGTTTGTCGTCGTTACCTGCCCACTCTGCCACTCTGACACCAAACAAATTTAAATTATAGGTCTTTACTTTCTGATTAATATTATTTACTGCATGCACTGAACAAATGCTCACCCTTTCATCTGTGTTATGCTGGATTCAAATGCACATTCTGCATCTGGAATCCAAACCATACTGCAAAGCCACAAGCACAACCCCTGTTGACCAGGCCTGTATGCTCAGGCCAACCTGCTCCAGTGAATATTTACACTGACATTTGCATCACAAGAGTCTTGATTTTATTCTTTCCTCACATTGTTCCCCCAATCCAGTGTGGAATTCTGACATCAAGTTGATGTTAGTGGTACCATCATATAGCATTAGGAACAGAGAATATAATTTACATAGGCAGTGCCTTGACAAATGTAATTTTATGTCCAAACCATAAAAAAAATGTGTGCTCCACAGAAGAGCACCACTCTGGTTTTCTTAAATCTGTGTGTTTACTAATGGAGAAGCATGAAATTCAGCCATTTCTTTGGAGAAATCATACTTGAGACTTGGCTATACTCTTTTCAGAGTCTATGTTAGCATAAAGGCCATGTCACATAATATTAAATTCCAGAATGACAGAGGAAAAACACAAGGCAAAGCTAGAAGCTTATTGAAGCCATTATTGGTCCTATTCCCTGACGGTGGCAGAGCAGGCTTGGCTGGCGTGTGCTCCCTCCTGAGGGCTCACCTACCATTTTGTGTTCTGTGAGCCACCATCTTGTTCCCATTCTGACCCATCTCTCAATAGAAAAACTCTGGATGCAGTTATCCAAAATACCATTTCAGACTTACACAAACGTGTGTCTCATTTTAACATCAAAATCTATATACACCTGGGAGGGTTTTTGCTCCAAAACTAAATAAGCCAAGTTGGAAATTCATGTACCTTACTCAAAACAGACAAGGGGAAGGTTTTAATTTTATTTTATCCTTGACTGCTTTTTGGTTGTTTTGCTTGGAGAGATTTTGGGTTTTTTTACCTTGCTACTTTTATGCTGAGACGTTTTTTTTATTTCTTTACATTTTGTCTTGGAAAGAGAGGTTAAAAAGCTCAGTCTGCTAAAAATACATGAAAGAGATAAATTTGGTCCTAGTCAAGGAGTAGTATATGTATCTGCATTGGTCATTGACAATTTTAGCACTGACTTTCATGTTGGTTAAACACCAAAGACTGCTCCAGTCCTTGAGCTGCTCTAGGGCAGCTGGCTCCAGCACGTAACAAAACCACAGTTTTTGGAATCCCTTAAATGAGGGCAAAGGTTTGAATCAGCCTCTGTTGGCATTAATTTGCTTTGCTCCCTAATGACTGAAAAGGGGACAGAGAACATTCACGTGGATGCAACAGCACTGAAATTCACTTTATATTATTGCAGTCATGGTTTCAGGTTCTCCCCTCTATTTGCACAGACCCACCACAGAGCTGAGAGTGCTGCATATCCATAGAAAGAGGAGGTCAGTGGGATGGAGCCTCCTGAGCTTAGGCACAGACACATCGCCCTGCAGCTGCTGCTCACAACACTACCACCACCTTTGCCTTTGCTTTTCCATTTTTCCTTTAACTCTTTTAAGCAAACATCATCTTTCAGAGGCTAAACCATAAGAAAAAGCAGGAGCCATGTCTATTCCAAGAGGAATTGCAGTATCAATTGACACAAGCACTTGATCCTCACCTGCCCATCCATCCATCCATCCATCCATCCATCCATCCATCCATCCATCCATCCACCCAGCTAGACAGTGGAGAGAGAGACACAAGGAGCAAAAGCAGCCACATCCAGAAAAGAATGACCAAAAGACTGTGTGTATACACTTATAAAGAAGCCCCAAAAGTTTGATAGGAAATGGCTCTGAAGCTGAAGCAAAAAATAAGTGATTAGGCTTTGTCATAGACAGCAAGTGTAATTGTAGGGAGACACTAACTCCATCTGTTTATGCTCCCTGTCCATAACGGGCATAAAACCAAGAGCTGCAAGGTTCCTCTGTGGCTGCCTAATCTTCTGGATATAAATGGTTATTTAAGGAGCCAGCATTTGAAATGGTGTCACTGCTGGCTTTTCCTCAACCTCAGCAGTGAGCAGAAGCCGTGGAAGTCAGAAGGAAATATGTTTTCTTCCTCCTAAAGTCAACTTTAACAGACACATGCAGCTGAAATTTGCTCTCAGTTGCACATGTCTGTTACTGGAGCCATAGGGAAGCAGGAAAAGGCTTCCCAGGCTGATTGGAGATCTGGGGACATAATGCTATTCACAGAGGGCAGAGGAGTCCCATAGACCCCTAGGGACTGCCTTAGGTCTTGACAAGCCCTCCCTGGCAGGGCATAGTGGACCCAGAACAGATTTGGTCACTATGGCTGTGAAGGGATTTCCATGTCTCACTACTAAGAATGAAGTCAAAAACACCCTTAGTCCATAATATTAGCCAGAGAATGATTCACTTAAGCTGAATTTTCAGTTTCTTAATATTTTTTGTCCTCATTCCTTGAAACATATGTTGGCTTAGGTGACCATGTATATCAATATTCACTGTGTAGATGCTGGTGCTTAACTTGTGGTAATGGGCAAAACAAAGCCAGGGAAGAGGTACAAAGACTTCAACACTCACTCTCAAACACAATCACTCTCAAAATGCTCTGCAGAGTAAGAATAATTCCCATTTCATCAGCAGGAAAATACATTTTCTGAGACATGCTAGACATACTCATAACTATCAAAGTCAAGGACTGGAGCCTTCTATCTGTGCTCGTTAATCACTCTGAATATGTGGATACCCAAGTCCACAAGGCTGATGTTCAGCATGGGTAGGAGCCACCCACATGCATGAAAAACCCTGCAGCTTGGGAAAACCACAGGAAACAGCAGCACCATTCAAGACTGAGAACCCTGATTTTCCAAAGCAACTAGAGATCTTGTATCAGTTCTAACTACTTTTAAATAATCCTGGCGACAAGATGATGAAGGCTCAGCATTTTCTGAAATTTTGGAGGCATTTCATACTAGGCATTGAAAATGAAGACACACAAAAACACTGATGTTAAGCCATGGGCAGAATGTTCACAGATGCACTTCACATGGCTTTTTGCTGGATTGGATTCTTGAAGTTTTCTTTCACAAACTCAGCCTGTTTTCTGTCCAATTTACATGGTGTGCCTGCACATTAAGCCACGGTTTGAACACAGAAGTTGCTATGCAAGTACACTCTTACTCTGATCTCTATCTGCTCTCTCCATCACAATGATAAGCTTAAAATGCTTTGGAAGTGCATATTTTTACTTCTTTAGTAATAAAGAGAAAATACAGCAAGAGGACAAAAGTTTGGTCCCACTCAACTCCATGTGTCTTTGGCACAGCACTCACGGTGCCACACGCTGACCAACAGAGAGGATACACAACCCTTAGTGCCAAAATTGCTATGTAGTTTATTTAAAAAAAATGGGCAAGAAAAAGTTTCAAAGTCCAGTACTATACCTTGATATCAACACTCACAGCACTCCATTTTTAAAGCATTAACCTATTTTTCTTCTCTTTTGTAAATGATCCATAGTATTTGGTAGCACAAAAAGATAAAATACTGCAAATAAAAAGAGACTTTTTAGCTACATCCTTGTAGCTAAAAGGTGATGATCATGAGATAGTTACAGGAATCTCACCAAAGCATGTGCCTGCTACAACATCTGTGTCTTTGCTGAAATCTAGGGGTATCTATGAAGCTGAAACCCTTCAGGAAGGATGGGTTTGATTTGAAAATAGCCTTGGTCTGGCAGCATAGAAATTATTATTGCTAGTCAACTCAAAAGATGGTTATGTTTGTGGACTGCCCACCTGAGGCCTGGCACAGGGAGGTCATTGCTGGCAGTGGAAGGACACATCTGCCTCCCCTCCCTGTTGTGCCCCAGCACAGGAGGACTCCCTGCTGTCATGCCTGGAGAAGACCACTGTTTAGCTCCAGCTGACTGTGGGGCCCAAATGCAAGAGCCAGAATAAGCACACAGGCGACATAGGGAAGAACTGTGGGCAACAGCAACATCACAATACAGCGCTCCTGCTCAAATATTTTGCTCCTGCCAAATATTTGCGTTTTGCCCACTTGTCTCAGATGTTCTCCAAGGATGCTTATTTAATTGCTAGGTCACGAGTGCTGCAGGCTCAAAGATTTCAGTTCT